GGCTTCACCAATGGTCAGGACTGGCTAGTGCTCTGGAAGTGTATGAATTTTAGGTGAGACAACATTGTGGACCTGCAGAGAAGCACTCAAGGGCTAGTTCCAGCCAGATTGTTTAGAAAACAGACTAAAATGGTTTATTTCATGAGTTTTTATCTGTTCTGGATTTGTAATATATTGAGAATCTAATTAAGAAAAATGTCTTAAGAATCTAGTATAAAGAAATTTAGAGCAGGAAGAGATCATCCGGAATGTAGGAGGAGGAACAGATTCAAGGGAGGCGAAGTGATATGAACAAGGCCACATAGTATTTAGTGTGTAATGCTTCCTAAGGTAAGGACAGTGAAATAAAGTTAACATTGAAGAGTGAAAAGATGATTGAGGCCTAGATCCCGAGACCTGGTATCATACTTCTTCCCAACAAAATATAAAATTAAAAATTATTTTTTCTTTTTAAAATAGCAAACGGATGTTTCAGAAGACAGCGATGACGATGTGGATGAAGATGAGATTTTTGGATTTATAAGTCTTTTAAATTTAACTGAAAGAAAGGTTGGTTTCAGTGGGTGGCATCTGAATGGTTATTCTGAAGGCCAAAACCACTTGTATTTGATACTCGATGAAAGTGCCTTTTATATCAGATGATAGTAACTATGAGGATATGTGCTCTTGTGAAATCTTATTATAATCATTTTTTCAATATGACAGGTGTTTTTATTTTGTTTTGTTTGGAATAACTTGGACGCAGTCAAAGTTACTTACTTCCTGTGGTATAGAGAATTGTCGTCTGGCTTTTTAGGAACTAGTTCTGATGTTGGTATTGACACAGGAGCTGTTTGTGCTGTCTCTGCAGCTATTGTCTCTGCTCCTTGTGTACTGTGGATATTCTGAGGCTTCATTGCTTCCAGAAGTTGACAGCACTTAGTGACATTGACTTGTGTTTTCATTCATCTCTTTTTATTGACTCACTGATGAGTTCTAATAAAAAGTGAAAACCAGCTGCTTACCCTTTTCAGAATAAGATGCAGGCTGTGCTTTATCTTTAATTTTTAAATGAACTTTCCAGTTACTTCCATCTGTCTTTATGAAATAGACTAGAACTGCTATTCCCATGTGTCTGAGTGTTAGTTGTAAGCCTCTCCTACCAGTGATCATGGGATGGTAAATAACCAGATGTAGTTACTTTTGAGAAGTACTTAAGCAATCAACGCTGAAGACATAGAGGGTTTTAAAGGCTATGGCAGGAAACTGCTGCCCTTACCTGTAAGATAAAAAGTGATAGCTGTCACCTTCAGGTTTTCTCCTGTAAGTGATGGCCTGTAATAAAAAGCAAACCTTCTCTTTGCTTTCTAGGGTACCCAGTGTGCTGAACAAATTAAAGAGTTGATTCTAAGCTTCTGTGAGAAGAACTGTGAAAAGAGCATGGTTGAACAGCTGGACAAGCTTTTAAATGACACCACCAAGCCTGTGGGCTTTCTACTAAGTGAAAGATTCATTAACGTTCCTCCACAGATTGCTCTGCCCATGCACCAGCAGCTTCAGTAAGAGACTCTGGAAAATGCCTTTGAACGGTAGTTTTTTCCTAAGTGGATTCAGAAATGTGATTTAAGTGGAATATGCTGGTATAGAAAGAATGCTACCCTTGGTTTAAGCAACAGTGTAGTGTGGTGAGAGTGGAAGAAACATCCTGTGAGATGCATACATTATTAATTGGCTTTTTAGAGTTTTAATTATTTGCGACAATATTCTTAATAATCCTAAGGATTTAATGATATAAAAATAGATTTTTTTTACCCCCTATTTAACTAAAGGTTTTCACCTTCTTCACAGATGGATTTTTGTAACAAATAGAATGTTGAACAATTACCACAATAACAGAAACTGAGTAAGATTCCTAAATTTCATTGGGATGTTTTATAACTCGTGGAACCATAGTCTCAATACTGTCTCTAGCATCTCAGGGTTTGTTGTTTTATTTTACTTTTTTTTTTTTTTGCTGAGGAAGATTTGCCCTGAGCTAACATCCATGCCAGTCTTCTTCTATTCCTTAGTATTTGGGTCACCAGCACGGCATGGCTGCTAACAGAGCAGTGTAGGTCCAAGCCCGGGAACTGAACTGAGCTGCTGAAGCGGAGCACCCCAAACTTAACCACTAGGCCACCAGGCCTGGGCCATTGTTTTATTTTTTAATGCAAGAGTTTAGGTTTATAAAAATATTTTAAATGTAAGAAGAGCTAAGAATTGGTGTTATCTGTACTTTGAAATAGAGGAGGACAAAATACAGACGGGTCCCCTGGGCTTTACAGACTATTATTTCTCAGAGGTCATATGCTTACATTGTGGTTTCCCTTTAATATTTTGTGATGTAATGAGTCTGGAAACCTTTACATTTCCCATTTTTCTTTTATAGATTATTGCTTTTTAGTTTTACTCTCATTCTCCCTCTCACCCCACACCTCAGCTGCACTCATATTGTACTTCTGGTGCCATAAGTGTTTTTTGTTTTGCTTTGTCTTTTTTCTGATCAGCTGGATTTCATGTTTGTTTGGTTTCATAGGAGGGTGACCTGCTTTCTCCTGATCCTCTATTAAAGAAAGCTGAAGTGGGTTGTTCTGAGTTTCTTTACATCTTGTTTAGCCAGATGGACAGGGTCATGTATAATCTTCACAAGGAAAAAGATTAAAGCTTCATGCCATCCCATTGACTAGTCTAGAATTTAGGGTATCTATTTCTTGCCATGCCTTTTCTGCACTATGTTGAGAATTAGCCCCAGACCCTAGTGATTGGAGACTGTAGCAGTCACATGCTCTAATGGCATTGGTTATGGCTGTGTGCCTTTGTGTGTTTCAGTTCAATGTTGTTAAAAAATCCAGATTCTTATATATTTTTAGCTTCTGCACAGGCAGAGCAGTGATGTTGAGTGAATTTGAGACTCATCTGTTAGTTGCTATTTATAATCTGAGAGATTAATCGTACCATTTATTATAAAAAGCACTGCCATAATCAATCAAAAGTGCGACTGACTACATAAATAAAAGGCATGGCTTTAGAAGTGTCCAGATCTAATATATAGTCGTTAAGCCCATGTCACAACAAAACCCACTGAAGGGGCCTCTCTGGTTTTCTCTTGCTCTGGTTTGTTGATGGATTTCACCTGACCCAGTAGGTAAACCTGTGTGTGCCTTGTAGGAAAGAACTGGCAGAGGCACACAAAACCAACAAGCCGTGTGGGAAGTGCTGCTTCTACCTACTGATTAGCAAGACATTCGTGGAAGCAGGAAAACATTCTAAAAAGAAGCAGAGCAACCAAGAGAAGGTCGAGTTAATGTTTGCAAATGCAGAGGAAGAGTTCTTCTATGAGGTAAGTTTATCATGTTTCATCTAGTTTAGATACTGTAAATAAGGATTTTCTTGACAATAATCAGGATTTGTTGCTCTCCCATTTTATGTTGCTCTTTTGAGTGTGGCCACTCTGTTTTCTCCACATCCCCAGCAGTTAGCAGCTGACGCAGTGCCTGGCTGTTAGTAGGTCGTCACTGGCTCCCCAGCCCTGCTTTTGGTGATGATGGGGGTTGGGGGGAGGAGAGCGGTGAATGTGCTGATAGTGACCAGGCATTTATAATATGCTTGCTGTGAGATCTCTAATTCTCAGACCACTCCGTGAGGGAGGCATTAGCCTGGGTGTGCACATGGGGACATTGAGTCTGACGGAGTTCAGAGCCATTGTCTGAGGTCACGTAGCCAGTCGGTGTGGAAGCCGTAGTGGACCCCTGCTCTCCCACACTGCTCTGCCCTTAGTCCAATGTCATCCCACTGGTGGGATCTCCAGCACTTCCTTCCTGAAAGGTAGCTCGTGCCGCGATGGACAACCAGACACCAGAGACTCTTCTTTCTCACAGCGCCCTCCTTTTAACAATGTTAAACGGTTCTCTGAGGGGAACATATTTTCCTGGAGGCTTCCACTAAAAACTAAAGCACTGCACTGAGGGTAGATCAGGAATTAAATAAGGAAAATCCAGCTTTTAAAATTTACGCCTCAGCACGTCCGGTAGACCGTTTCACGGAAGTTTGCATGGGTGTTGTAAGATGGTTATGCAGACCTACCTGTTTTCACACAACAGCTTTATGCCAAGGAAGCAGTGGGACAGTGGGGAAAGACCAGCATGTGAAGACAGTTCTTCTCATTAATTGTCAGATATCATGTCTTAACTTCACTTGTCTGTCACAAGACTGAGAATTAAATGAGATCATGAAGGAGTGACTTCAGAATTACAAACAGCACACAGTCATGCATTGCTCAATGACATGGCGGTGTTCTGAATCTGAGAAGTTCATCGTTAAGCACTTTTGTTGTGAGAACGTGTAGTTACACAAACCTAGATGGTATAGCCTACTACACACCTAGGCTGTACGGCACTAATCTCACAGGATTTTGTCTTTGTGGTGTTGTTGACCGAAATGCTGTCGTGCGGCACGTGACTGTGTAAACAGGCAGTAGTGTTCCTATCACGTAGCTGCTTGTTGGCCTCTTAGAAATGGAGCACTTCTATCCATAGCCCTCACATAGGTTTTAAGACTCTATTTGGTCAGCATTTTATAACTTCTGCCTGAATGTCCCATTTGAGTTTAGTTTATTCTGAGTTTTGCTTCCTTTAGCTGTTGTTCTTACTTAAACATATGCCAAATACAGTGTTCTTTTTTGTCGATTAAATGAGTTTTGTTTTTAGGTCGTATGAAATTTTAATTTATGGTTATTTACTTGGTTTAGAAGGCAATCCTGAAGTTCAGCTACTCCGTGCAGGAGGAGAGTGACACTTGTCTGGGAGGCAGATGGTCCTTTGATGATGTACCAATGAAGCCCTTGCGAACTGTGATGTTAATTCCAGGCGACAAGATGAATGAAATCATGGATAAACTGAAAGAACATCTATCTATCTAACCCATTTCCCATGGACAGTGGTGTGCTTGTTTTTGTAAAATTACCGAAAACTCAGTGGACATTATTGAAAAACTTCTGACTTTATTCAGATTAAGGTCCTCTACAAAAAGTAGGGTTCTGTTACCTGTGTCTGTGACACATTTACAAAATATCTTTGTTTTTGAATTTTGGTCAAATTATGAACGGTTGATTAAAAACTTTCCCAATAAGAAGAAAAACATGGAGTAGTAATTTAAAGAACTCAATAAAAACTTCTGTTTTTTTATTTTTAAATAATATACAGTGTTATTTTTCCAGACTATCCCACGTGGGGTATGATACCCTTCTTCACGTCGAATATCTGCGCGTTGCTCTGGTGGACCAAGTGTTAGGCCGACTTTGGGATATTTATTGCACATCGTGTTTTGCGTAGGAGGTTCTGAAGAGTCACTGTATAGTGCATCTTTGTTCAGTAGTTTCAGGGCACTGCTCACACATTTTCTGTTCCTTTTTCATTGCTGAGATAGTTGATAGGTGATCCATTACTTGCTGTAGAATCTCCTTACTTTCACTAGGAGGCAAATTACTGAAGTAGTATTGTGGTACCAGTTGCATAAATCTGTTTAAAACAAAAAAAATTAAGATTTTTTGGTGAACGACATCAAACGTTTTGTCTGGGCGCCTCCCAGCCCTGGAGAATCTATTTGTAGGACTGGTATTTACTTTGAACTCCTCAGTGTCTTGCGCTGCCTTTGCAGACTAAATACTTTCTCTCGTTTTCATGGAACCAATCCACTTGCACTTCTAGGATCAGGTGGCTTCTCTAGTGTTAGGCCACAGGGCAGAAGTGATGCCCACCACTCTGACCACTGGGGAAAACTGGTACTTCCCCTGAGGCCCGTCACAGTATGTGAAGGATGAGATCGGATGCTTGGGAGAACTTTCAGTGGCTGAGAGAAGCAGTCTCTTTGCCTCTTTCTCTCATTAACTGATCCCATTCCAAATCCAGCTGCTGAAGCTCGACCCCTATTAGTTACTCTTGTTTCCTACTTAGAACATCACTCTGCCCCAGTAGAAGTGGTACCTTCCAACGGACCCAGCATCTGCAGTGCCCTCTGAGAGACTAGTCTTCATTCTCACTACTGACCCTACAATCCATTCACTTAGCAGCTAGAATGATCTTTAAAAGTATATGGAGAAGATGTTACTCTTGCTTAAAACCCTCCAACCGCTTTGCACTGCACTTAGGATAAACTTCAAATTCTCCGTGGCCCCCAAGCCTTCCACCTCTGGTATCTGCCTGTTTCAACCTCCCCTTCACCCCTAGCTCCATTCTCAATGGCTGGTCTGTTTGGAGAGATGGCCAAGCCCATTCCTCTTCAAGGTCTGCACCTGCTAACTGTATTTCTCTGTGCCATTGTGTTCCTCTTAGGATATATCGTGCTGTGTTTTGTATTTCTATACTCTCTCTTTATGCTATAATCCCAAAGGCAGGAACATCTCAGATGATCATCCATAGAGACCTGCCTTTAATTGGTACAAGTATAAACTTGTTATAACTGAAAAGGTAATAAAAACCAAGTTTGTCATTTACTTAAGTATGAATTCAAAAGAAACCTCTTTTCTCTCCATTAAACTTACAGTTCAGGAGATATTTCTGAGGTAATCCTGATGTAGTTGTTCTCAGATATGCTGAATTTATGGAAGAGAACCCACTCTGGCATCTTCTTGGTGATGGAGTAAGTAGACAGGGGATGCAGCTGAGCAACTTGTTTGTGGGTTAGCATCAAGTAATTACCCGATCCATCAACATCCCGAGCAATCTGCAAGGCCGAGTTTTAAAGAAAAAAGATTTTGCCTTAATATGGATATCAATACAGATCTTCCTCAACTATGATGGGGTTAAGTCCCAGTGAACCCATCTGTAAGATGAAAACGCGTTTAGCACACCTAACCTACCGAACATCATAGCTTAGCCTGGCCTCCCTTAAACGTGCTCGGAACACTTCCATTAGTCTGAAGTCGGGCAAAATCACCTACCACAAAGCCTATTTTTAAATAAAGTGTTGAATGTCGCATGTAATTTACTGAATACCGTACTGAAAGTGAGAAACAGCATGTTTGTGGGTCCAGAATGGTTGTAAGGGCATCAGTTGTTCACCCTCGGATCGTGTGGCCAACTGGGAGCTGCTGCTGCCCAGCATCACGAGAGGATCGAACCGCGTATCGCTAGCCCAGGAAAAGATCAAAATTCAGAATTTGAAGTATGGTTTCTACTGAATGTGTATCGCTTTACACCATGATAAAGTTGAAAAAGTGGAACAATCCTAAGTCAGAGACCATTTATAAAGAAATATTTTGTTTAAAAAATTGCAAAGTATTTCATACAGAATAGTTAAAACTACAAATATGCAACCCATGTTTCCTATTTTCAGATACAGAAAATAAGCCATAAACATATTTTGCCCAAAACCTTGAGATGGTGCTGGTGATGTTAACTAACCTTAGCAGTTTCAGGGCAGCATGCTAAAATAGCATAGCTACAAAGGCTAGTGTTGTGGGCATGACATCAAGCTGGCCTGTTACCTGCCACATGAAGAGGGACTGTGTACTGAAAAGTCAAGTCAGGTACTTTATACTTGATGTTTTAGCTATAATCCTCACCATAACCCTGTAGCACACATGAGCAATTCCATGCTAAAATGTCATTTTTCTCCACTAAGACTGCATTAGAGTTTATGTGGAAATACCACAATATTTCTGTTACTGAGACGTGAAGAGCACACCTCCTCCTGTAAGGTGCTTTAACTCAGAGGCAGCCTTCGCTCTGGGAAAGAACGAAATGAGACATTACCTTTATTCGTTTGTTGGGCATATCACTGATGAAATGTGAGCTAACTCACAGACAGGTGAGATGAGGGACTATATCTGATGTTCAGCCAAGAGGAGTGTTCTGATAACTCCCTCTGTGATGGGAAAGATCTTTGTCCTTCTGGACAAAGTTAACGTATTCTGGCTTATCCTTTCATTCCCCTGAGGGGAAGCATATTTAAATAGTAAATCTTTAATAACATAAGAGTTTTTAGTTTTATTTTAAAGTTAACATCAATATCAGAATCACCCCAAGTGAGAGATTCCTGATGCGTGTCCTGAACACATGCGATCGTGTAGAGACGGCACTCGAGCGGCCTTATCCCCCTCACCTGCATGAAGTGGCCGGACAGAAGCGCTTTCTTTATGTTCACACTGTTTTCCTTTGAGCCAAAAGCAGGTTCTGCATAGGGCAGCTCGATGCGCCTGATAATTTCTAAGAGTTCAGCTCGGATAACGTCTGCCATCCTGAGTGCAGAACAGTTGAGGAAGTAATCATGACACCACTTTTCAACACAGTCTGGGAGGTAAAGAACAAAAGAAATGATTTGTCAAAGCTGAAAGAGCCCAGGCCAGGAAGGCGCCATCTACGTCCTCTGTGCTCCTCTCCTGGAGAGCAGGTCAAAGAGCGGTAGAGAGGCAGCAAGGACAAGGAGACTCGCTGTGGCTGTGAGACGGGCAGTCCTTGGCACTGCCAGGGAGGGAGACATGTCAGCTGGTAGGACCTACACTGGCTGCAGGGCTTCCACAATCCCGAGGAATTATGGAAACAGCATGTTCCCAGTGCTGACCGAAAGTTACCACCCTTACCTGTGGCTCGTAAGGGGCAGAGGAGATTGTCTTCAGATCAACATTCTGTCTTTGTGTGTTGAGCAAGGATGTAAAAGGCCACAACATTTAATCAAATGAGGAAGGGAAAAGCTTGCGGTATAAATTCCTCTGATGTATGAAAATACCTCACATTTTAATTATAAGAAAAGGATTACTACTAGGCTGATTTGGGAATTACGTTCTAGTTAAGCTCATCTATCTACACTAGCTCAAATTTTCTATTAAAATTCAGTCACCTGCTTCAGTTTGAAGTTTTTTCTTGCCACCTGTAATTACTTACGACAGACCCGGAGTTTTGCCTTGACCTGGGGATGCACATGGACTTGGCACACTGGGCAGAAGGGCCTCGTCGACCTTGTCCTGTCCACTCAGGCCTATTCGGAGCAACAAGAGCATGTACTTGATCCAAGTGGCACGCATCCTGCTTACTCTCAAAAGATGCCACCAAACTCCCACGTACTTTCTGGCTCCACTGACAACTTTTTCTTCTCAGCTTTGAAAAACTAACTCCCTGCTGTATACAATTCTACTGCCATTCAAATTGCTGTCATATTTTTCACTTCATTTAGAATATTTTTCATGCCATCTATTGGAGGAAAGGAGGCAAAAGATGCTTCATGGGAAACAGGTGAGAACAACCGCCCTTAGAGGAAGGGAACGCCTCACCGGCTGTCCTTTGGAGGCCCGAGCTTCCGCCACACTGCTCTGCCCTCTCTGCCCCTCGAGATCTCTTCCTGTCTTTAACTTCTCACCCAGCCTCAGTGGTCTAGTGGTTAAGATTCAGCGCCCTCACTCTCACAGCCTGGGATCTTTTCCTGGTCAGGGAACCACACCGCCCGCCTGTCAGTTGTCACCCTGTGGTGGCTGTGTGTTGCCTTGAGGCTGAAAGCTTTGCCACTGACATTTCAAATACCAGAGGGTCACCCATGGTGGACAGGTTTCAGCGGAGCTTCCAGACTAAGACAGACTATAAAGGACCTGGGCACCCACTTCTGAAAAAGTTGGCCATTAAAACCCTATGAATAGCAGCAGTGCACTGTCTGATAGAGCGCTGGAAGGTGAGAGGGTTCTGCTCTGCTGTCCACTGGGGCACTCAGAGTCGGAATCCACGATGGCACTAAAACAAACAGGAGTTTCACAGGGAGGAGTTTCCAGTTCCCTTCTCACTGGGTACCCTCTTGTGAAAATTAACATACCTACGGTCGTTTAGACACACCCAGGACTTCTGCCTCAGCTTTTACATGTGCTCTTCTACTCTCTGGATGCCCCTTCCCCCACCATCTCTGCCAAGCTCCAGTCAAATTCTCCCCAGTCTCCCCCAGCATGCCACCCATCCTTTACTATTATCTGGAGCTGGGCTTTGCCTTGTTTTGAAAGCTCTCTATTCTTTCCCCATCTAGTGTGAATATGCCATGTCATGGAAAGCATAACACACAGCTGTGACCCAGGGGGTACTTAGAGATGTCGGTTCCTTTTCTTGCTCCCCTGACCCAAGAGGGTAGGAGCTGTGCTGTTCAAGTCTCCGCATCCCCATTTCATTGTGCCCTAGGCAAGCTCGCCCTGAAGGCTGGCTGGCCAGATGTGGAGTTGTGTCAACACAGGCTGGCCCCGCAGCGGTCAGAGCTCTGCGGGAGCAGGAGGGGGCAGTCTCACTGCTCAGCAGAAACCTCTGGCTGCCTCAGGCCTCAAGCGCCATTCCACTCAAGTGACCCACGGGGCTAGAGAAGAAGTGTGTTTGACAAACAACTCAGCTCTATTTGGGGAAGGAAAGGTGGAATTAGGTCATTTCTGAGAATAGCAAGCATCCACTTACGCTCACTGGTGGAATTCAGAGTTGCATCTTGGTAGGCCTTGTAAATGTTGATGAGCGTAAAGTGATCTCCTTCAGGATGTAAAAATGTCTTCCAACAAGTCAAGGCAGCCTCCTCAGCTCCACGCGGCAGATGTGAAAAGCAGCTGGGAGCTTTAAGACGCAAAAGGTCACAAGGTCAGCAATAATGGAGACATTCCATCTTAGCACAACACGCAGAGGGAGGGGCTCACTACTGTTTGTGGAACTGCTCCTGTCTTATTCTGTGAAGAAATGGTATTCTTGTTTACTCAGAAATCAAACAAATTTCCGGGGAGTTGTCAAAATGTCTTTCTCCTTGATTTTGTTTGCTTGCTCTTCTCCGGTCTGCTTAGTGTGGTTATTAGCACCCTGCCTGTATCACCAGGGCGCCGGGGACCTGTGTGCTCAGAGGCCGAGACGCAGGGACATGGTTGGAACCTAAGTCCTGACGCAGCAGGGGCCTTTGCTCTGTTCTGTCAGGAAAAGAACCAGTTAAAACATATAAACCAAGACAAATGAAGGTGGTAGGAAATAAAAAACACTCACACATAATCATTCGGGGAAGGACACTTCTAGTGACACATTTTTCTTGATCCGCACTGATTACTTCGGCAAAAGCAAACTTGGTATGCCTTCACATGTCTGATTAAGAAATTTACTGGCCTCTTATTTTTATTTTTTCATATTAAGATAATTCTTACAATTTCTACCTTTTTAATCTATTAAAATTTCATTATCATTTCTAATGGCTCTCATTTAAATCTACACCTGGGGCAGATTCACAATACAAGTACAGAGACAATTCAAATTCCTTAAGGAATACCTGTTACCATGGCAGCGACTGTCAGCATTTCATCTACACAGTCAAATTCACAGGATGCTAAGATAGACTTTGAGAGCTGTGGATCCAGAGGAAACTCTGACATGATGATTCCAAATTCAGACAGATTTCCATCGTTGTCCAGGGCTGCCAGATAATCTAAGTCTTCCAGAGCCTGCATCAAACTTTCTGGTGCTAGGAAAGAAAAAATTAATAATCAGAAATTCTCATACAGCCAAGATGGAGTAACAGGTACTGGGATTTCCCTCTCATGTGGAAACCAAACAGTGAACAAAATATGTGAAACAACAGTTTGCAAGACAAATAGCATTAGGCAATGAAGGACGGTGATTCCTGAGAGCGGGACACTAAGGAGGGGAGCCCTGGGATTGCCCAGCTTACTGCCTTGAAAGTTTCCCAGGCTGTGGTGCAGGGAGGGGAACCCAGGTGGAGGCTGCCAGACTCCCTGAGTTATCAAGATGGTGCTGAGGGTCCAGGGAGACTAAGGGGGTCAAATCTGCAGGTCGGAGTACCTGAGAGGAGAGAGCTACACAGAAAGAAGACAAGAGATCTATGAGCATCCCCCTGGACTAGTCAGCAGAGCACATGTAAGAAACTACCCCAGGCCAGAGAAAGAACCATCCAAAGGATTAGAAGGAACAGCATCTGGAGCTCACACAGGATCGAGGATTCTGCCTGTTTCCGCCAGCCAGACTGCAAAACCGCATGATCCATGGCTGTCTGGGTAGGAAACACAGGGACTAAGGCCCAGATGCGCACTGCTCCAGTGCCACCTAACCAATCCTAAAACCAAGACCTGAAAGGATCATACTGCATCCCAAGACAAAGCTCAAGAATATTTATAGGAATACAAACACCCAATACCCAACACAGTAAAACACACAGTGTCTAGCATCCAGTGAAAAATTATGAGGCAGGAAGATACAATCCCCTAACAAAGGAAACATTAATCCATCCGAACTGACCCACACCTCACAGATGACAGAAATAGTAGACAAGGACGTTAAAAGAGCTATTTGCCAATGCAAATAAGGTCAGGAGGCTAATTTTCTCCATCTACTTAGTTCTCTTTTAAGTTTATATAACACTGATAATAGTGTAGTATTTATTATATACGCTTATCCTCCACCAAAAACACTAATCCATTTATTTAAAGAAAGGTATTCTCCTTGCCCAAGCAGAAGAAGGTTATATTAAAATAAATCTGTGTTTTTCACCTGTCTGCTGCATGGTATAGTAACAAAGGCCACACAAAGAAGCAAATCAGATGGTACAAAGCTGCTGTATTGTTCTACCCAAGAAACTGAAGGATTTATGAGAGCCACTGAATTGCTTTCATTTGTCTCAATTCCAACACGTGTGTGGTGGGTGGGCGATGAAGACTACGGAGAGCTAAGAAGCAATTTACCCTATCTGCAGCTGGGAATTCAAAATAACAAACAGTTACAATTTACTCATTTGCTGTCCAAACTTTGACCACTAAGCTATTTGTCAAAATTTCAGGCAAACTGTTTAACTGAAAAGCCAGTCACAAACTCGGATTTGATAAAAATCCCCCACTCCTATCAAGACATGATGAAAACACTGGGAGAAACCACTACTGTGGGTTGAGAAGTAACTCCCGGGCACTGCAGTGCAGTTCTCCGCATCTCATCCTCTCCCGAGGAGAGCAGAGCAAGTCCCAGGCATGACCGCAACCCTGGACACAGGGGCTGCAAGCCAGTGATCAGCTTCTGGGGAAAGCAAGCGTCAGGGCTGAGGGGCTGCACGAGGCAACCCAGCGCAAACCCGCAGAGAACCCAGATGCTGCTGGAGACCAAGGCGCGGCTCTATTCCCACCAGGAGAAGAGGAGTTTAACTTCCCTATTGTTTTTGATTTCTCTCATCAAGATTTAAAACTGAGAAGAACAGGACCCCCAGGAGATCCCTGCCCCTGGGTTCGGACCCCTCAGTCCCACCTGGGTGCTGGCAGGGAGCACTGGTGGACTCCTAGTTCATGCTTGGAGACCCTGAGGCAACGATGAGACCTTGAGAAGTCACAGTCCACAGAAGTGACAGATGGGCTGTTTAGAAAAAATAGCCTGAGAGTTCCATCAGTGAGCCATGAAATGAGAAGGAGCAGGAAGCAGCAACAGAAACAAGCCTCTCAGATTAAACAGAGCAGGAAGGGGTTGGGAGCACACACTTCATTACTGAAAGCTGTTTGGAAACCGATTTCTATAAATCAACAAAGCTGCCGCATTATCAGTTACAGGATCTTTGGCAATTGACCGTATAAGCATCTGGCTTGACAGCCAGCCTGTCCCCAAGGAGCACCTACTCCTTCTCATTTTTAGGCCCTGAAGTTGAGTTGGCTGCACACAGGATTACTAACAGAAATAACTTGGTGATTCTGCTCCCTGTCCTAACACCAGAAAAAGAGGATGTTCCTGGGGTTTTATCATATTAGAAAGAACAAGTTAACGAGTGCGGATTATACAGGTGCAGGAAGTACAAATCACTGACCAGGATTCGCTCATACTACCTCCTACACTTTAAAACACCTCCCCACTGTGGCCCCTAAAACTGTCGTAGCTAAGAATCAGAAGGCTTTAGATGAGGGCTCTTTACGGCAGTGCTGCTTCAGTGTAACCCATGGGAAATAATGCTCACAAATGGAATATAAATGTTTTGGTGTGAGGGTCTTCTTTACAGCAGTGCAGAATCAGACTGCTTTATCCTGAAGGCAATTTCAATATGAACAAAACATTTTTATTAAGCTTTATGGCCAAAAGCAGCTGTACTCCCTGAGGAATAGCTCACTGCAAGGTCACACACCTCCCCCACTGCTGTCATTCAAAGAAACGTGAAGGGCTATTATCACACTATTTCTTTACTGTTCCATGGAACCCCAAATGCCAGGCTTCAGTACTGTATCTGTGTTTTCCTTCCAGGGAATCAGCAGAAAGGCTGGTCACAAAGAGGTCATTAATCTATAACAAGCTTTCAAGTCCACCAGCCAGAGGAAGGGGCTGACCCAGTGCTGATTCTGAGCAGGAGCACAGGTCAGATGAGGAGTCCAAGGCTCTGCTGTGCCATTTCCAGAACCGACTGCCTCACATGGCATGTTTCCTATGGTCTTGAAAGGTACACCAAAATTTCAGATGTAGAACAGTAGGAATCATAGGCTGTTCCCCCCATCTTTATGGCGATGTCAACTCAGGTGCTCAGCAGGAGAGAGAGAGACGAAGAACCAAGAGAATACAGAGACCAGAAACCGAGAGCCAAGGCTGTTCAAGCCTCTATTTTTAGGTGTTCCTGAGGCACAACCGCATGCGCCTCTTGGATTTCATGAGGCACCCCATTTCCTTATTTCCTTCACTTTTGCTTATGCCGGTTTCATTTGCATTACCCACACTTGCATCCAGAGGAATTTTAACAAATACATATACAACATAATAAATTCTGTAACAAAGAAATAGTGTATCCAAAGTGCCAGTGGAATTTAGACAATGTAGAGACAGAATTGGCCTGGGAAAGAGCAAGAGCAGCTACACCCACACAGTGCTTACTGTGTGCCAGGTTCATACATTAATTCCATACATCTTTACCAGCAGAGACAGAGAAACAAAGTAACAGCTTGAGAGGAGTAAAGGAGAAAATGGAGCTTCTGGGCCCCACTCGCTGTAGGACTGGGACTCAGGCGTTGTGTACACTGAAGTAAAGAGTGCACAGAGGGGACGAACGGAAGAAATCAAGAAATGATGGTGAAGACTCTAAAACATCTTGAGACTTTTAGGGAATAGGATTAAGGGTTTGGCTCTGAAGGGGACACTTCACTTACTTTCACAAAGACATGCTCATAAAACCTGGCATTTGCCTAACACCTACCCCTTTACAGCAGACACAGCACTTTGGCATAAATCATCTCATTGAACCTCTTAATAACTGCATGACACGAAAGGGCAGGCACTCTGGCCTCATGTTACAGATGAGAACAGGTAAGTGAGTTGCTAAAGCCGCAGGGTTAACCAGCCTGTCTCCTCGGCTGTAAAACGAGGACTGGAATGCAGGCCTCTCTGCCCATGGTGTGTGTTCTAACCAGTGTGCAGTCCGCACAGCTCCTGCTGGACTCATGTCTTCTGCTCTGCTGGTATCGACCATGGCTTCTCAGAGGCAGTCTTATGCTGTCTCCCAACGCCAGTGGATCAGTATCTGTTTCTCACCCTATTAAAAGTGCCCTTTGTAGGATCTTCTGCAGCTCAGGGACTACAAGCTTTTTGGTTCAGAGCTCAGGTAGGAGCTATGCAGATGATGCTACAGTATTTACCATGTGCCAGTCACTTTTCTAAGGGCCTACCTTTATTAACTAATTTATCTTGACAACTCTACAAACCAACTACTTTGATTATGCTCATATTCAGATGAAGAAACAGTGATGCTGAGAGGGCAACATAATTGCCGAATATTACACAGCTGGGCTTAGAGCCCTGGCAGTCTGCTTGTGAGCCTGAGCTTTCTGGGGTAGTCCTCTAAATATGGGTGACCCTCTGCCCCGGTGTGGTGAGGATGACCCCGTCTCCATCTCTCACCGGAGTTTAACTATGAACAGGATCCTCTTCACTCTCAGACATCCTGGCCTGAATAATAAGTCACCCAGTCACTGGACCCACAAAGAACCTAATGGGTATCAACAGCTGAAAGTGCTTCCATCCTGCGCCTTTTAAAATCTCTCCCAGATTTTACTTTCACTTTCTGTAAAATTACCTTGACGCTTCCAAGATCTTCACGTCCTGGCTCTTGAGTTGCTTTGGCATATCTGTGCCACTTCTTCACATCCCACCCCCATCTGAACATAGCAATAGACTTTGTGTGGCCTTTAGACAGATAATGATGAACGCTCATTAATATAAAAACTAGACTGGGGCCTCCTGCCAGGGTGCTGGTAGACTATTTGCTAATCTCTTGGGGCTGTTTAGGGGGCAACGAGCAGCATACACTCTGCTGGAGATGTAAGGACCGCCGCTATTGGTGAGAGGCACATGTGAGTGCCAAGTCCGCAGCCCTCCCTGTTCTCCTCTTAGTACCCAAGTGTAACGTTTTAAGGTCCTTCTGTAAACTCCAAAGCAAAATCCCAAGTTCCCAGTGATTTATAAACCAGCACACGCACCTCTCTAGTATACTCACAGACTAGGTTTTTGGTGCAGTAAATAGGATTCCAGAAGATCCTGATTCACTGCCTCTTGAGTCCTCTGGTGAAACATGTCCACCATCACCACAGACCAAGCCCCCCAGCATCTCGAATCCCTCTCTTTGCCAGCACCAACACCGGCCTCTGCAGCCCCCCACTTCATTCTGTCCCTGCACTCCTTCCCCTGTTTTCTTGAGGTCTTTGTCTCATGCCATGTCTGGCAAGTCTGTGTTTGGGTTCGTTCTTCATAGATGATACCAAAGCCAGTTGTCTGGCCACCACCAAAGAGTCCTGAGTCCAAATACAAAGATGACATCAGGTGTGGTCTTATACATTCTGGCTAGTTTGTTTCCAAATTTTTGTCCAGGTTTGGCTGCCTATACAGGGTCAATGACATTAAGGACCACCTGCTTCCATGAAGTGCTCAGCTGGCCCCGAGCTTCCCATGAGGGAAATCAACCCTCAGCACCAGGGAAGGAAAAAAATAACTGATTTTTTTCTTAAAGAGATCTATATCATAGGAAGTCAATTAATAGCCTGTAACCTAGTTATGCCAAATTCATTTTCACATGGTTCATGAATCCTGAAAAGGGTAACAGGTTTGCTGCATTTGCGTATTTCAATCATAAGTCGAATTAAATGCAGCAGCTGCAAGCATAGTCTTTTTCCCCTCCCAAAACGATGAGTCAGAGTTAAGCCACAGTTACATTCTCCCCAAGCACAGCAGAAAATCGTTCTGTGTGTATTGTCAGGAGACAAAAATGAATCGTTGCCGTAACTAACCCTTTTGTCCCCCAGTTATCAGCTCTAAGCCTTGTGGAGTAAGCAGCACACAGGGCGGCCACTGCGAGAACACAGGAATCCTCCAGCATGGCTAGAGTTCACTGTTGGCATTTTAAAATCTTTAAGATTATGCGCCACACTTTTCTTCTCCCTTCAGGACTAGTCCGATCACCCCCCATCCTGGGAATGCCCAGGGGATCCACGCATGCTGATTCTTGGGCTTAGGAGGTGAACAGCAGGACTGGAAGGACAATTTTCGGAAGTGAAGCAGGTTTCTTCAGAGAATGCTCTCTGTGAGGTCTCCGGAGCGATTAATGTGGCTGACCAGCCTATGACAAAAGCCACGCCATCTGAAGCCCGAGGTCACGAGTGAGAAATGTATGCAAGCGGCAGAGACTCTCACCTTCCAGATTCCTTCTTTGGGGACCAGAAGGAAAAGTCAAGAGAAGGTTGGCTTTGATTCAAAAGTTAAGGGATCCTGTCTAAAGGAACATTGTCACCAGGATCTCCAAGCCAGTCTGAGCCATATGACCCACTTCCCCAAGTCCCCATCTCGTCCCCTTTCTAACTTGCCACAATTTTTCTCACTCCAACAATTTCTACATAAGAAAAATGCATGCAATCTGAGTGTGCCACATACAGTTCCCACTCTACATCACATTCTATGACTCTTTCCTCAGAGCAACTCCTTTTTAGAAGGTATATTTATCACAAATATATTCATTACATAAGTTAGTTAGGAAGGGACCAGGCCTTATAAGCCTTTCCTCAGGTGGGGAAACTATGAGCCACGCAAAGCTGGCTCACATGCTCAGAGTCAGGCGTTAGGACTGGGTTGCTTGGCTGGTAACCAGGTGATGTGCCAAAGTCGTCTTTACCTAAGTTCCATTCAGGCTTCTTGTTCCCGTGGGCCTCTGAGCTCTGCCTCTGTGCCTCCCCAGCCTCCCCTTCTTCTTATTCTGGAGAATAACTTCCCAATTCACATGTGCTCTGAGATCTCTCCCTAATAAGGCCTCAGGGAAGCCAGAGTCTCCTGCCCAAGAACAGCCTCCCCCAGGGCTCCAGACCCCTCGAGTTCACTGTGGCTTCCAGGGGCACCAAGTATTTTCCTGCAGATTCAGCACAGTAGGCAGCAAATGAGTCTGGGCACTGTCCATTTTTGCAGAACAGTGGTCTGCAACCCTTTTCGCTCGAGAACAGATAGCTCCAATTGGAGATGGCCACAGAGGAAGCAGGTCTGCTTTAGAAGAGAGCAGGAGCGCACCTGGTCCCGTTCCCGCCTGGAGATCCACTGCGCCTTCACATAGAGCCTTTGTTGAAAATTTAAGATCCCAGAGGGTTCCCGAAAGCAATTGATTTTTCAAAGTGTTTACTGGGAGAGTTTCACTGTAAAACTCCCTAAGAGGTTCCGGGAAGGACTCAGCGTTGTTGAAGAGCGCCATGCACCTGTCACGACCTCACATGAAGAAACTTCAAGTGATGCTCTGAGGCACCCTGGAGTGGCAGGTGACGCTGTCCCTTAGGCCCGTCCACAGAGGAGTTCTTGGACTGTCTCCACAGCCTATTTTCCTTTCCACCTTTTTATTTCAAAGCTCAGCATCCTTAGGAGACACTCCTCTTACTTAACTTATTCAAATTCTACTGGTCATTTTAAGAAATATTTAAGGAAGAGTAACTCTAAAACAACCTATATTTCTCAAGTGCTTGTAAATCCTATTGGCACCACTGCACAAAATGATTGAAAAACACAGGAGTTGAGAGAAAGCAAGGCAAAAAAGTACACATTACACAGTTTCCATTTAAGTATGCTCTCTGCTTCCAAGGTCTTGGGCTGACCGCTCTCTCTCGTGCACATTTGATACATAACACCCAGATCAACAGACTGTCATTCACCTCCCTTGATAAACATACTGAAAATTTCAACCTCTGGCCTAAAGTGTGGAAAAAATTAAGGAAGTTCTTTTTATTAAAGCACAGGTGAAAACTAAAACATCATCTGAAGGGCAACCGGTATGTTAAATCAGGAACCTTTCTATGGGGACTCAAACACCCACGTAGCCTCTCTGAAGGTCAGCTGCAGGTCAGAGAACACAGCAGCAGTTCAGAGGCAAACAGGGCCCGGATTTGGGCGCTGCTGCTGAAAGCTGTGCCTCTGGGCCTGGGTCCCCGAGCAGCAGCGGGCAGGTAGGTGGAATCGAATGAACCGCATTCCTTCCTGTGCAGATGTGTGCCCCCAGCCCCTGGAGACCGTGCCCAGCGAGGAGCATCTGACTTGCTCTGTGCTGGCTCTGGGGGCATGGGGTGCGCAGCCCCAGGGAGTGAGAACCAGCACAGGACTTTTCTGAGGAAACGAGGGCACTGACCACCAGGAAAGAAGCCAATGGGGCTCTGGTCTGTTTTAAGGAGACACCACAGCAGAGTGGTTCAGATGACTCTGCAAACACTGTTCACCTTCTCAATTTGTGTATGTTATCTCATTTCTCTCTGACTCAGTTTCCTCATCTGTAAAACGGAGCAAATAATAGCCCTGGCCTCAGAGGGTTGTTGCACTATTAAATGATTTACTATGTCAGTAAGACCATATAAACGTTATTCCTGGCCCTGTTATTGCTGAGAGGACAGGCAGGCATTTAAATGGACAAGAAGAAGCAGAGCATCTGCTGCTTTCAAGCTTTCTTCACCAGCTGGTTGCTGATGTTTTAAACTAAACAGCCAACATCACTTCTCTGACACTACAGTCAGGGTTGAAGAACTGTCTATCCACCAGAGAGGGTAAGCTAACTGGGGATGCAGAAGAAACCAGGAGGCTAGGAAGAAAATGTTTTGGCTCCTTTCCTGATCAGGTGGGGTCCCTTTGCCCTGTGGCTTTGGCAGCCCCATCACAAGGTAGAGGCCGCTGTCCTTGCATTTCCTTAGCCTTTTATTGAGCATTGTGATGGTTTTCAATTAAGCAGCTGGTTGCTGGAGCAGCAAAGGTCCCCACGAGTGATGATTCTCGAGGGGAGAAAGCCAGCACCTCCCATATGACAGGGGGCTTTTCTGGGTGGACTCATTAGAGGACGTATTCCCCTAGGGGAAAGATGTTCAGACTGTAATTACAACGGCTCGGTCCTAAACCTAAAAACGTCAGCCCTTCACATAAAAGTCTGACCTAAGTTACAAAGGAGTGGACACCTAATGGATTCCCCAGGTGATAGTGGGATTCATGAAGAAGGACCGTCTGGTTACAAAGGTCCCCACCGAGAAGCTCAGTGCTGCCAAGAATTCCACCTTTGCCCTCTGCTGCCCTCAGCCATATGCTTCCATGTTCCACCATCCCTCCTGATTTCTGGGAAGACAATTTTCCAATGTCAGACAGATATTTCCTAAAGCTTGTTTTTTTTTTTTTAAAGTTACTTTAGAGAACGTTTACGTCTAATGGGGAAAACGCTTCAGTACATACTAAGTCCCCAGGCTTGCTGGCACTGCCAAGTGCCACTTGCTCTCTGGACTGGGGATGGGCAAGAGGGAGGGAGCTAAGCCCCAGCCCATGCACCCGCTACAACGTGAGCGCAGAGCTACCTGGTCTGTTCATGAAGTCGCAGTGGCCTAAGCCTGCGATGTCGACTCTCTTCATAAAAAGCACCAGGCTGGTTAGGTTGGCTTCCTGCATTTCTGCTGGCTTAAAGGGCCGCATGTCCTTGGAGGCAAATTCTTCAGAGTACAGACAGAAAAGTTTTCCTAGAAGACACCAAAGAAAATGGCTTTAATATCTCTGTTGCCTTCACATAGGAATTTAAATCAATTTGTTATTGTGTCCGTAGTGCTACCTGAAGACGATGAAGCAAGAATCTGCTTGCGTGTCTCTGCTTGGCTTTGGCTGATGGGCTGCATGACAAGCGAGTTGGCTCGGATTCTAGGGTTGTACACCTTTAAAGGGAAAGAGCATCTTTAGCAGCAGATCACTCAAGATTTAGCAGGCTCGCCGGACCTCAAGTGAGGGTGCTGTTTGCGGCACCTGGCTCCAAGAAAGGCTCTGCCTCGGACTCATTTTCTTTGTACAATATTAATCATTGTTGCACTTGCCTTGAGATGGAAACTGCAAGTGCTTTGATAAATGGATTTAAAGGTTGTCTGCTTTCACTATAGCTTCAATAAACATGGGACCTCTGTATCATCTGCTGAAATACTAGTGTTGTCACTTCTCAAAGCACTAAAGTGGTGAATGATGACAGATACTCATGTGTCCCATGGAGAAAGGATTATCATCTGACAGTGCTGTTTCTTCAAGGTTTTATTCAAATGGACTGTGATCTCAGTGGTCGCACCTTTGTAACATACTGAGCTCTTCCAGTCACATCAGCTAATACAAAAACTGCATACAGCACTAACAGTGATTTTTCTTATGGGTAGTTTAAGGGGGTAAGTAAAAGCCCTGGGTTCTCGGAATGGTGGACTAATTCAATAAGTTCAACCCAAACTGGTCCAAGGGCCTTCAAAACGGTTAGAATTGCTCTGTCACAGTAAGACAAGGATACCTCCTTAGGAGACTCATGGTTTCCTAGAGGGACAAGGGCTACACAACATCTAATAACGCTGAACAGATCAGTCCTTGAGGAGGTTTTTCTCAGTTCAAATGCTATGATTTCTGTAGTCCCCGTATCTTTGAGAGTTTGAGATATTCTATTTCCATTTTCCCTAATTTTTAATTTAAAGATAGTGATAAAAAGTAATATATATAATTTAAATTTAGGATGGAATTTTATCACGTCAACTATAAAGCCAAAATTTGCTAAAATTAAAGTCCATGCACTTGAAACTAATTTCTAGTAAACTATTCGGGGGAAGATGCTAATTACTTTGATAATGTGAGTACCAAAAATACCCAAGAGACATAAAGAAGAGAAGATTTAGGAGTCAAATAATTTGCTTTACTAGTACCTTAGCTAAAGAAAAAACACTGACAAGGAAAACCACCACCTTTATGCTTTAGTAATTGTGTTTTTCCTCAAAACTTTTCCCTCTGGCATCTCAATCAGTTTAATTTGTTTCCAGACTACCAAGATGCGAATGAGAGGCAGTAACGTGATCAAGACATGTTCCTGGCTGCACGAGTTCTTCTTTGCACACGTGACTGAACACAGAGAACCCAGATCAGATAGCTCATCCTCCCTTTCTGGTCAAGAAAATAGTAGGAGCCCAAGACACTGATTCCTGACAATTATCATCAGTCTATTTAACCTGCTTGATAATAATTACCTTTCTTCTCTCCACACCCACATCAATAACAAATTTGACTGTGTTGCTCCAGATCAAAGATTCCCCAAAGCTAGCAGTTAACACCACTCTCCTCTGATAAACTTGGCCTCTTTTTTCTGTTTCATCAGGGGGCTTAAACAACGCACATTTCTCCTTTGGATACAAAGGAACCACCACCAGTTCTCCAAGATCTGGGTTTAAGTTAGATCCTTCTTGACAGACGATTTCATAGGCTTTTTCAATATCCTAAAGTAAAAAAAGATAACATCATCCATGAGAATAAAGTGCATTACAAACAACTTCACTACTTTAAAAAAAATGTCTGAATTAAATAAAACTATAGGCAAAAGCTGCATAATGTATACAGGGAAAGAAATACCTGTGTTGTTATCTATGTGCGTCATTAAATATGAAAAGAAGATATAACAGGAAGAGAACATTTCTTTGGGGAAGTATTTCACTGCTTTTAGTACAAAATGGTTTTCCTTGTGTAATGTACCATCTTTGCATTTATCCTATTTTTCTAGCTTGATGCAATTTCTCATATCCACTAACAATGACAGACAAACGGAAGTTATTCTCACATCAATGATGAGGCATCACCATATTTTAATGGTGGCAGAGCTAAGAATTAAAAAACAATCTCTAGATTTCCAATAAAAGCAAATACAGTCATGCGTTGCTTAATAATGGGGATACATTCTGAGAAATGCATTGTTAGGCGATTTCATCATTGTGTGAACATCTTAGAATGTACTTACACAAACCTAGATGAGATAGCCCACCACATGCCTAGGCTATATGGTACTAATCTTATGGGATCACTATCGTATATGACCGAAATGTCATTATGTGGCACATGACTATATACAAATACATTCCATAATCAGAGTTTCTAACTGGGTCACTCTGAAAACTATTTTGACACATTAGCACTTTAAAATAGCAGAAATGCAATGAAGTAGGCAGGAAATATTCACTGCTATTTACATCTTTGCATGATTCAGGCATTTAGAAATATCCTATAAAAACGTTTCACTGTCAAATATATATATTTTTAAAGTAAATTATTTGCCCTAAAATTACACACAAGTAAGTATATTGGTGTAAAATGCTCAAAAGGCGAGGCATTTTAGGTAGTATTTTGTTATTTCTCAAATCACAACTAGTTTTTTAGGACCTCTTATAAAAAATATGTCACAATATAATTCTTACACCTTTTTAATTTGTTCAAAAATTTCTGCCTTCTTAAGGGCCCAACTGAAAAACTACCAAAAGGAAGAAGCCCCATTTCACTTCATTAGATACATGAGATTTCACTAAAAATCTAAGTAGGAAAGATGATTTCCCATGACTGTTACAGTTTTAAGACTGATTCCATTTCCCATACTGCAGCTCACTTCTCCTCCTTTTCCACACCATTTGTAGAATGGCACCGAAGTAACTCAAGGATTTTGCAGGAGGACAGATCTGCCTAGAAAAATAGCAAGGCACACAGGTCTGCAGGACCCAGAGTGGGCTGTCTGAAAGTTACTGCCCAGCTGCTGGGAGGTGTCAGGAAGCAGGGCAGAGGCCACCTGATGGGGCCCACACAGGCAGTTATCCTGGAACCTTCTTCGGCTCACACCTCCCTTTTCTGCAAACAGCTGGTTTACTTGGGGCAGGTTTCTTTACCAAGCAAAGAGCATCACTGTTGATCGTAAAGAATGAAAACTTGCCAATTGGAATAATCTGAACAAAACTATTTCCCCACTTTCGTAATTCTGATCACTTCACCATTTTATGTGAGGATAGCTTAGAAACTACGGAAGAGAAAAGTACTTGTGCTGTGTTTCCCTGCACCTGGCTCCTGCTCAGCCTCCCACGGACACAGCCCGCTCTCCCGGATGAGCCTCCACAGGTGTGGCTTCCCCTCAGAGGTAACGTGAAGTTGGAAAGGGACGCTCCAGCCCAGCAACTCAGGAGCAACTTCCAACCAAAGAAAGCCTTTAAATTGCACTCAAAGAGTTATTCTCTTAGAATACTGTTTTAAAAGTAATTTGGGCCATTCATTTTTTATTTGCTTTTAATTGCTAAAACTTTTTAGTTGTAGGTGGATTCTAATGTTGAATTTTGTTCCAAATGGGAAATAGAAAGAATAAAAGAAATCTTCAGAAGGAAAAAAGCAGAGCAAAATAGAAAGAGATATTGTATATAGTTTAGACTCTTCTAGCTCAGTGGATATGGGGCTTTGGGGCCATAATCTCCAGAATTTGGGAAAAAAAATGCTTCAAATCTGCATCTGGTGCTTCAAACTTTTTGTTCATTCCTTTCCTTCTGATTCAATGTACAGTGCACTTACATACGTGGGACTGTCCTATAATTGCCTGCAAAGCTATGGAAAACACAGCAACACGCACTGAAGGAAGGGCCCCAGCCCCCAGAATGAAAGGCTCACAACTAGAAAGAACAGTTCCCAGGAAACCCTTCAATCTAATGACAACTTCTTTGTGATAGCTTAAAGTTGCACAATAATCTGCCTAGATATCACCCTAAATCTTAACTTATGTTTCCTATGTAATTTATTTCACTTTTTTTTCAGGTTAAAAGACAGCTAAGTGAAAAGGAACAACACACTGTAAACACTCAAGTCTCAAAGTCTCAGTTAAATTTCAGGACACAGGACAGCAGGTGACCCATGCAGCTGATTCACAGCAGGGGAGGTCAGAGAAAACCTGAGGCTCCTAACACTCAGCAAACCGAAATGCTGGACAATGTCCCTGCAATTTAAAATCTATTTCTTAAACTAAAAAATGACAATTAGTACATTTCTGTTTGCTTCGGTTTGTTTTCATATGATATTTAATTGCTGTGGCAGATTTTATAGTTCTATATAGAAATCAAGAAAGCTTCAAATAACACAGGGAAAAATGATCAATGGCTGTTAATGTGGATTTCAGAGCAAGACAAATTTCTCCAAGAGACAAATTCCGAGCCCAGAAAAGAAGAATATCTTAATGGTAATCCTGACACAAGCAGGAAAAAAGAAAAAAAGAGAAGGTGGCAGTAGATGGGGAAATGAACACCAGAAACCTGTGGAAATGGGGGCTGAATTGTGAGGCGATAGAAACTGGTTCCCAGAGAAGGGATCCTGAAGCCAGTGGAGCTGCTGCCCGAGCCACCGGGCAGCTGGCTATGAGCCTCTGGACAATGAGGAGCCTCATTTCCCTCAGGGATTCCAGGGCTGGACCCGGGTCATAGCAGCAGCACCTGCCAAAAGGACGCGTTCCTCATTCTAAGAGGCTCAGAACTGCAAAGTCCACCTGTAGCTTTCACTGCATTATCATTTTCAAGATTTTAAAACTTTGCAAGACTGATGGTTTCTGTCAGATGTCTTGCAAGACTGATGTCTTTCTGTCCGACTTTGAGGAGGATTAAATACCTTTCTAAGCCCTGGGAATTTTTACAATTTCTACTACCAGCCTAGGTAAAAATGCATCCTCTAAAGTCTGACAATTCAAAAGTCACTGTGCCATTAATTATAGTTTATATTAAACTTACAAGAATCAAACACTCTAAGACCATCCACTACCCTCAATTCTGTATGGGCTTTGTTTTTCAAAAATCCACTTTGGAATTTTTCCTTACTCTGACTTGAAAGATGACTTATCCTATCAGTCTTAATTATACGCTTTCCCCCTAGAAATGTCTGTCTTCTTTTTCACCCAGCGATTCTAACTTCCAAATGTCTTAGACTCTAATTTTGCTATCCTTTCTGTCCTAAGGCTTCACTCAGTAACACTGAGAACCTCTTACTGTTTTCACAAATCCTTCTCCTGTCTCCTTAATCGTTTTATTATTTCCCTCAGGACTTTCTTGAGTATCTTGAATCATGCAGGATTAGGGAATGGTAATAGAATCAATCACTGTAACAGTCTGAATTACTTTTTTTATGGAAACATAAAATCTAAGTTGTGCAAAAATTCTCTAAAGTTTGCAAAGCTAAGGCTCAGTCATCCTCTAGCCTTTGACTCTGAAGCAGAATGCTTTGGATGGTACTTCTGAGTGCGTGAAGACTTGGGAAAAGGTTCTGGGAGAGCTGAGACGCTCGTCTGTTCAGCTGGCAGTTCAGCCAATACCAAACAATTTCCTTTTGGTTTCTGTTTAATCACTGGAATCACCACATATTTGGGTCACACTCTAAACACTAGTGCTTTTACTGAGTGAGATGATGGGTAGGGAAAAAAGGCCAGGAAATTAGCCTCTAAGAAGAAAGGTCTAATTCTTGAGATTCTGGAGGCTTTTAGATTCAGCCGACAGAGGATTAGAGAAAGAAGGCCAGCGTAGCTGTAACAAAAAAAACACAACCCCAAACGGCACCGTGACCCAGTCAAAGCAGTAACAGGTGCTCAGAGGTACACTTCCAACCACAGGAGCCTCCGTACAGGGGGACAGCCTTCTGGGTGTGCGATAAATTCTATTTTCATGCCCAATACTCCACTGACTCTTTTAGGAAGACGTGTGAGAACTTTTTTCTTCCTCAACTCTGTGCCAAGTACTTAGGTTATATTCTTTATCCCCAGCAAATGCTCCTGGTCATAAGGAGGGAGCTGACAGTGCGACATGAGTCAGTGTGCATCTTCTCCACCGAGACAACCCACAGCAAGCACGAGCAGCTCCACCTCTGCACTGCAGCGGCCCCAGATTCGACCCGGGTCTGGTGGATGGACGGGTCTGGTGGATGGACGTTAGCTCTGGAGATCATTTCCATAACCCCTCGAGATGCCGCACCCATTCTTTGTTTGCAGAACAGCATGTGACTTTAGAAACACTTCCTCGTTCTCCTTTCATCCCAGGTTTTATTTACCCTATTTAGGTTTCTTCTAAAGTATAAAAAAATGAGGTGTGTTGGAACCAAATATTTAAACAGTTAATTAGCAAACTGAAACCTGTATGTTAGTTATTAAAAGCTTCTCAACAAGGTTAAAAGGTTCCCAATAAGTAACCTTATTACTCTGTTAGGTTAGAATATTACTTACTTACTTGTTCACAGGCCAGAAAGACTACAATGTCACCCTTCTCACCAGAGTGGTGAATTTCAAAGATAAGGCGTAAGATAGACTCAAAAGACTCCTTTTGAGCCCCACTAAGGTACACAACCTCCACAGGGTGCTTATTTTTCACTTCTATGAGAGGCACATTTCCATAATAAGAACTGAGTTTGCTGATCAGGTGAGGTGAGGAGTTAACAATGAGCTTCAGTTCTGGTCTTGCTAGTAAAACATCTTTAAGAAGTCCAAGTAACACATCAGTTGCAATGCTTCTTTCATGTATATCATCTAAGATGATGACCCCATAGCTACCCAAAAAAGGATTGGACATCATTTCTCTCTGCAACATATCATCAGTACAATACCTACAAAGAAAAAACATTAAAGTTAGAATGCTCTTATGAAAAATAATACAAAAAAAGTCCTAACAAAAATGCCTTTCCTACATTCTTTTCTCTAAATCAAGAATTCTAAATCTTTACTGGGGCCAAGATTCCTTTAAGTTGATAAAATCTAGAGAGACCTTCAAAAGAAGAAAATACACATAAACAAATTTTAAACACAGTTTGCGTATGTTCAGACCCCCTAAAGACCATTGCTGAACCGGAGGTTACAGACCTCCACCCTAAATGTTTATTACAGATATTAACAAGAGCTACATCTAATATTTGCTCTGAGTTTTTTAAACAAAGAAGTAATATGGCAAAATACCCTTGTCAGGGAAAAGTTCTCTTTCATCAACAGAAGAATTTTGAGTCAAAGTATGCACTTTTCAAAAAAAAGGATACAAGAATGCTGGCTCAGACTCACGGCCCAGCTAGTCCACCAATAGCTCTCTGTTGGTGGCACATTGTAGGACACAATATCAGCAAGAAGTTAGCGTCAACAAGTTTGAGATGCTGCCCAAATAATAAGCAAACAAAAGCATCTAGAAAGTGACCACCTATTTGAGGGCAGAATGCAAATTGGCCAACATTCCTGGAGGAGGAAGGGGTCATGAGTGATTTTAATGGAATTTTCCAGTAGTTCTTGGGATTTTATTTTTAAAAAGAATAATAAAAATGTATACCTATTAGTCATCCAGCACCATGCAAACATCCTTCTGACACTATTTACATATTTACCTATATTATTCCTTGAGGAAGCCAAGCCTATAAGTTTGCTACCCATTTAAGGTGTTTATTTCATTTGTCCTTGTACACGGCAGGTCTGAAGCTGCTCTTCTTAGGCAGGCCTGCTGCAAGACTGGCCCTTGGCTGGCATTTGGGAACCTCTAGGATTTGGGAGGGGTCTCACCATCCCCAGAACTGATAAAGACTGCTCCCAGTGTTTACTGTCTGCACAAACAACACGGTTTAAACTGCTTTCCTTCTGGAAGTCTGGGATTTTGGAACACAGAAGGCAGAGGGTGCCTAGATGACCAGCCCCCCAAAAATATCCTGGGTAGGGAGTCTCTAATGAGTTTCCCTGGTGGACAATATTTCACACATGTTGTCACAACTTACTGCTGGCGGAACTAAGCATGTCCTATGTAACTCCACCGGGATAGGGTGCTGGACGCTGTATATAACTATATATATATTGGATGCTTGCACGTGGTCTCCTCTGGACTTCAGCCCATGCACCTCTCCCTCTGATTTTGTTCTGTACTCTTTCATGGCAGTAAATCTGAGCTGTGAATGCTGAATCCTATGAGTTCTCCTAGCAAATCACCCAACTCGGGCTGGTCTTGGGGACCCTGATACAGTCCTCAACCCCTTTCAAGAAAGAAAAAAATGGACCAAACATATACTAAGTTCCTAGTGTGTGCCAGGCATTGTGTTGGTGCACACATTTCTCATTTCAGAATAAATCTTCAAGGCAGACATTACCATCTCATATTCATAAATGAGAAAACTGAGGTTCTGAAAAGGTTAAGTACCCTGCCCAGGGTCATGAAGCCAGGGAGAGAGTCCAGATTCACACCTGCGTATCTATTACATCTCAGGTCAAATTAGAAAGACTGCTTCCTTGGCTTCCATGGTTTTGGTGATAAAGTCCATGTTCTCCCCCTCTGCAGCTCCCTGAGAACAGAACGTTTGCTCTCTGCCTTTCTTTTCACCCTTGTTCTCACCCTGTGTCTTACCAAATGAACAATGACGAACTGCTGATTATTCCTTTCCTTAAACTTAAAACAGAAAATATACAGAATACTACCATATTTCACTTTGGGCCAAGACACAAACAAACAGAGATGCATCTGAAGTCTAGCTTTCTGGTTGCCTTTTGCTGAGGTTAATTAGTATGATATAGTGATGTAAGTTACTACTGCCTCTTGTCTAAAAACAAGTTAATCTATGCTATTTCCTTAATGTCAGAAATTAAATCTCTGTTCTCTTCTCAGCAAAACTCATCGAAGCACTGATCTTATAGGAAGAAATGCTCCCCACAAAGCAGAGGAGGCATGTGTGTTATGTAAATATACCTGGGCTTAATTAAAAAGGAAGATGGTGACTTCCTTATAACTCTACTAGACTCAGCAAGAAGGCCTGGCCTTCCAGATGCTTATGCAACACTAAGGGAATACTAAGGTTCCATGCTAAAATTTACTACACAAACCTTCAATTTTTTACATAACAGAGAAATTTATTTCTTACCTTTATGTTAATAAGATTGTGTGTACAGTGCTTTAAAAAAGTGCTATTACTGATAACTATGTAAAAATACATGGCCAAGGTTTCAGGAAATGCAGTTTATATTTTAAATTCTTAAAACTAAATTTCTGAAAGCTAAGAATATCATAAAATATAGAAAAGTTTTATTAATATTCTTTAAAATTATATATATGGAATCTGAGCTTAAAATTATATACATAGAATCTGAGTAATTCTTTTAAAATCGGTGTTCTAGAGGGTCAGTATTTGAAATCTATGTGTCACTTCTACAAGATATCTTGATAGCTAGTTCAGGCGACTATTTTAGTTTATAATATCCAGGTATCCACTGTTTTAAAAAGGCCAGAAAAAAGCTTAAAGAAGAACTAAGTTGTTATATGTAGCACCCAAAAAAATGGTAGTAGGCAAAAGAAGTGCTCATCACATGCCTAATGGATTAGGTTTGAAGGGGTTCCAAAGAAAACGAAAAAGTCAATACCAAATACAGAACACTGCCTCCCATAATCAATAGTCAACCTCAAATCCTCTCATTTAAAAGCTACTCAGTCTGAGCTTATTAAATATCACGGCCGGCATACATCTCCAGGAAGAGGAATTTGGTTCTAATTTGCCTTTATAATTATAAACACGGCTAACATGTACTGAGCGCTTACACGCGGCAGTCACACATCAGCTCAGTCAGACCTCACGACAAGCCGTGAGCAGGTATGTTAATCACTCCGTTTTACAGACGAGGAAGCATAAGCACAGAGAGGTTAGGTGACTGGTGCAAGGCTACAAGCGAGTAAGTGGTGGAGACACTCATTTTACAGCCATGTTGTCTTCTCTTCAGAGCACAGAACATCAGGAAGAAAATAAGGAATTACTTTCTTTGTCATAGGGTGCTTTACAGTCGTTTTGGCCTCTTTGTCGTTACTCAAACCCTGTTAGCAACAAATCGGAGTATCTGCTGACTGCACTGGTTGGAGGATGTCAGGGTGGAAGAGAAGTACAGTGTCCCAGCAACAAGGGAACTGTAAAGTGAAGGTACAAAGACCTGAGAGGGCCAGGCAGCCCAGCCCAGGCAGAAGGAAACAGAACCCGCCCTGGCCAAAGCCGGCTGTGAACGCCCCTCCGAGTCAAAGGTGTCCTTGCAGTTGAGCCCCACCACATCCAAAAGCTATTTTCCATAGTAAGAAAGGAATGCCACACGGATAAGAACTAAATAATTTCAGCATAAACTGCAGTCCTTGCTTTGGCTGTCAGGATTGGATGCTTGCGGGGTTTTCACCACAAAGCAATCACTTGAAAGCCAAGTCCCAGCACATGAGAGATGCGTGCCAGGCGAGATGGGTCTCTGACCCACTCTGACAACAGTATTAAGTAAGCTCCACAATTATTGATCTCTGTGGCTTTCTCAAAAAAAATTATATATATAAATATATACACTTGATCTATATTAATTAAGATAAAAACATTCTAATATTTCACCTTAAAAGTGACTACATCCAGTCCTTTCCAAAAGGTTTCCAAAGTCTAGATGGCATCAAAGATATAAAAATACATGTACTAACTTTAGAACCTAGTCAGAGCTGTCCTTTAATTAAAGCCATGACCATTTGAGAGGCCACTTCAAAATGTAAAGGATAAAGAATGAATCCGCCGGGCCGGCCCCATGGCCGAGTGGTTAAGTTCGTGCGCTCCGGTTTGGCGGCCCAGAGTTTTGCTGGTTCAGATCCTGGGTGTGGACCTAGCACCGCTCATCAGGCCATGCTGAGGCAGCATCCCACATAGCACAACTAGAAGGACCTACAGCTAGAATATACAACTATGTACTGGGGGGCTTTGGGGAGAAGAAGAAAAAAAAGACTGGCACTAGATGTTAGCTCAGGGCCAATCTTAAAAAAAAAAGAACGAATCTGCCAAGCTTAGGGATCCTTCACCCTTTCAGGGATGTGTGTCCCGTCCAACTCTTCAGCTAATTTGTGAGTTCCTAAGAAGCAAGGAGGTTTTTACATTTCATTTGATTCACTCATGCACCATTTGCATAATAAATAATTTATAAACATATACTAATGTGACGACTCAGGGACATGGCTGCAATAATAGCAAAAGCTAAGATATCTTTAAGAAGTTCATATCGTAGTGCCATTGGTCAAAAGATTCCCCAGGGTTTGATACTAGCCTGAAGACCAATGTCTTCTATTTTTGAAGATAAACATTTGAAGGAAAGCAGCTTAGTACAAACCAAATGAGTTATACAGGTTTTCCCAATAGGAAAAAGCACTGCACCAGAGTCTATAGCAGCTGGCAGGGATGAGGCAACACTCCTTCCTTCCATTATCAAATCTGTTGAGCACGCTCCACAGGTCAAGCATGTCAGATCCTGGGGAGGTGAGCACCCCTGCTATAGCGTGCTGTATTAGACTGTCCTGTACTACACTACACTGTACCACCCCACCCCTGTCACACCAGAGCCCAGCTTCCCCATGGTGTGCCAGGGCACGCTGGTGTGCCAGACAAATGGGTTGTAGATGTGCAGATCAGTGCTGCTCAAGTACGTGTCTCCTCAGCCCCTGGAGCGGTCAGGCAGTGCCTGGGGCAGCTGAAGCCCTTGGGATGGTCATCTTTGGCTGCCGGCAGCTTTGTGCATTCCTTGAGGTGCGCTACACAGACGCTCTCACTTTCTATGTGGGCTATGATGTAAAACTCCTTAAGAGGCACTGGCAGTAATTTTTTCCAATTTTCCTTCTTTCTTTTTCTTTCCTCTTTTCTTCTGTGTGTTATGCTCTTGGGACCCTTTGTGCAAAGGAAACCTCACAATGAAGCTAAAACAAAAAAGAGATAAAAGAAGGATGTCTCTTTCCCACAACCTGTGGTAGCTACCAAGAAGGCTACTTGGAACCCTGAAAAGCAGTTTGAAAAACATTGGTCTGAATCGCTATGATGATGACTGATACCCAGTTATAAAGAAGCCCAGCAGAGCGTCTTCTAATTTACAGTACAGGAGGGTCAGGGAAGCCTTCCTGGAGAAGGTGACCCTTGCATGGAGTCTTGCATGACTAGGAGGAATTAGCCAAGCCCAGAAGAGGCATGGGCATTCCAAGTAGAGGGCGCATGGGCATACTGAGAACCATGTGTGTCAATGTGGCTGGCATACAGACAATTCATATGGACCCCTCATGAGGTGGCGCTTGAGAAGCACAAGCCTGAAGGTCTTTGGAGCCAATCTAACATGTCGTAGCTTTTTCCTGAGGATTATGGGGAGTCATGGAAGAAGTTTAGACAAGGAGTCCCTGATGGTGCCACTGTGGAAAAACAGATGGTGCATGTCAGGCTGGTGAGAGAGAGACCTCATTATTACACACACAGATGCTTACAACACTGAGTGCAAGAATACACTCTTCTAGGATTGTAGAATACGAGCCAAGAGTCAGTCAGAGCAGGTGAAACCCCCAAACCAACCTCAGGATTGTTTCGCTGCTACAGCAGTTCTCAAAAGGGATCACATAGCCAACTTCATGACCAATGTTAACATCCATTTCGTCTGCTACTCGTAGGGCGAGCTGAACTGCAGTCTGCTTGTGGACCTGTGTGCATACCACGCCCCCGTGCTGGTAGTGGATGGAAAGGCAATATTCAGCACACCACTGAGGAACCTTTACCAGGGAAAAATGAGACAGGATCAGCTGCTGCTATGAAACAAAAAACCAAGGGTTCAACTTAGAAATGATTTTTTCTTTCACCAGTGGGCTGCATTACATCTTAGTTAGTGAAACTGAACAATCTGTGTTTCTGCATAGAGTTCTTACTAGTAAATAAAGCATTAACAGGGGTTAGCAGAGACTGAAAGTTTGACTCCCAGTTGAAAAAAAAAGGCAGATAAAAACAAAAGGCAAAATTTAAAAAATATTTTCAACCTCAGTTGTGTTTCTAAAAAGACTCATGTATTTATAGATTATAATTTTCTTTCTGGTCACAAGAAAGCTCCATCAAAAATATCGTTGGGGATATAAACTGCTGTGTTTTAGGCAATGTAAATATTAAATAGCATTTAGACGAAAAGTAGTGACTCAAAATTAAAGCATTTACATTTAAATCTAAATGATCATAACAAAATAATCAAATAAGCCTACTTAGCATTTCCCCGGTAATAAAAGCTAAAATACACTGGCATTTATCATCTAAATACAATGAAACATAAGTCCAGTGAGATAATCAACCAATCCATCCATATTTGGAAAGAGAATTCCAAGGCTGCTCTTGAGACATTTATTTTTAAAATCCTTTTATTGAAAATGTATTACGGATTAATTGGTTTTATCAAGGTCAATTGCGCAAGAATTATTATAGTAGAAAGTACTGAATTCATCTGTACACTACAATCTTAAGGCACTGTCAATAAAGTATGCTGTCTTACATGTATTTTTAAAATAAATCATTCTAAGAGTGCTTTTTAATAGATCTATGCTACTTAAAAGTTTTAACATTTTTAATTATCTTGAGATTTGCTACTTACTAGACCCATCATGGAATTCTTAGATTTTAATCCTCATAATTTGAAAAGTAAACATAACTTACCAGAAATCATAAGTAACTCCAAAATGAACAACTGCCATAGACTGCAAATTCCCACTGATTAAAAGTGCAGATGCACTCCCTCCATTGTAAGACAGGTGTCAGCCTTGTCAACAGGCTGCAAACTAATCAGTAATTATGTACTCAATGCCCACCTCTTTCTATAAAAGATGGACATTTAAGCTACTGAGCTCAGGAAACCTGGAATGGAGGCACGACACAGGAAAGAAGAGGGCACCCAGGGAAGTGGAGCCAGGAGCCCAGACAGCCCGGCTCGTGGCCAGTTTGTTACCTGTGAGTCACAACTTCTCTAAGCTTCAGTCTCTTTCCCTCTAAAACAGGCTGAACAGATGAGAGCTGCCCTTCCAGTCTGAGCTTGTGCATATTCTCCATGAGCCTTGCTGCGACCCCTGCGACAGGGGATTCCCGTGTGCCTCCCGACAACCAGGTGCGCATCACGTTCCCGCAGAGGCTGGGCTGTTTTTGGTGTCTGCCCGCCCCACTGGACTAGGAGCTCTGCCCTGGTCACCAAGCAGTCCCAGTACTCAATAAACAGTTGTCGAACAAACAACTTAATCTCTTATACTTTCCAGAAACATTTTTTAATTCTATGATCCTATATACTCTACCTTGAATTGCTTCACAATCACCAGATCACCTAACTGGGAATTCACAAAGAATTTTCCATCTTCCTCATTCCCTAGCAAGTAATATTTTATTCTTGCCAAATCCTCACTTTTTAAACTGATTGCCTTCATGTCAGGGTCCACTAGCTATGGGGCCTAGCCGAGGCCTCAAACATCATTCACGCGAAAAACTGTATTAAACTGCTCGTTTGAATCTTTGTCTCCCCACTAGACTGGAACAGATCCTTACGCTGCACATGTGTCGTTCATATTTGTCCCTAATACTTAACAGAGGACCTGACACATAATAGGGATAATAAATATTTGGATGGATAAATAAGGACATCATAATACCTGAAAAGAAGGGAGAGAAAGGCATGGGCTCAGGACTGAGCATGGGAGAGAAGTAACGAAACCAAGGGGTGTTCACTGGAAAGGAAGAATGAGCACCACCCACTAGCAGACTAATTATGCATAAGAAGAAAACAAACACTCCAAGATTTCTAACTTAAAATACTAGAATAATGGCATCATTAGCGACAACAGGAAATGGAAAGTAAAATAAACTGAAATGAACGAAGCTAAACAGTGGCATAAAGTTCTTCTGGTGGGAGTGAGGAGCTGGGAGGGGAGGTAAACGACCTTTGGGAGGGTTAGGAAGGTGGTCAGTGTTAAGCTCATCTTGATGGGGGGACATCCAGGTGTAGCTATCCTGAGAGCAACTGAAAAGCAGGCCAGGAGCCCAAGGGAGGGGCCAGAGCTGGAGGTGGGGATAGAAGTCACAGAATTTCAGAGCTGCAAGGAATCTCTGGAAGGCACGTAGGCCACACCCTCACTTTACACAGGAGGAACTGGCTTAGAAACCAGGCTGCCAGTAAACAGCACAGCCAGGACTGACCCAAATCTTCCAATTCCTCGCCTAGTGTCGTTCCCACCATGCCACACTTGCCTCCAAGCATCTTTATACAAAGGTGGTAATTGAAGCCACTGAGATTCTCAGCAGTCAGCATTTTAAGTGACTTATTCTAGCCTAACGGCACTGTGAGGGGACAGTACTATGACGACAATGCTCCCTGTTTTACATAGCTGGAACTGTTGCTGAAATTACAACATCCAGTTTTATTAAAATACTTAGATATGCTCAGCCTGGTTATTAAGATCCAGCACAGCTGCTTTCAAACTTTGTAATTCCACAGATTCTAATGATTACGGGCCATCTTCCCCAGCTTCTGATTTTGTTTTTTGACTTCATTTCATTTATTTCTGTCTACTCACATAAGCAAATTCTCTAGGATTAGACTATTACAGTATGTTTATAACGGTATGAACTTCATAGAGGCCTGGCAATGCAATGAAGATACCAATTCAACAGTCTTAATTTTCCTTTTTTGCCCTACTCCACAACAGAGCAAATTATTTCACCAATGAGGCAAAGAAATTAACTCAGAAATGGCAACAGCCCTACTCAATGTCAGGTAAAATAACCAGTGAAAGACTGAACAGATGCATATTGTGCTTATGCAGGGATGTCTGCTGACACATCCAAGGTAAGAATTGTGCACAACTGGCAACTAACTGCAGAGAGCCGCTTGAGTGTGGCTCTGGCTACGAAGTAGCGCCCCTTTCAGTAACAGTTCCACAGGGATGATACAGTAAGTAAGTGATGTAAATATCAACAGAAAAGGTGTCTCTGAACAGAAAGAGAGACACATGAAATCATCTGTCCTATTTTTACAATTTCCTTGCTTTTGCATACCTTCTGAATCACTCTAAGCAAGCTATGGCCCCCTGTGGAGTTTGACGCCTTAGCAAACTCAAAGTGTTACCTGAAAAAAATTATGATTCAGCCAATGCTGGAAATGTGAACATTTCATAATTTCTAGGGACACTAAGATTACAGCTTCAGAGGCAACTCCTGCATTCTCCGCGCTTAGAATAAATACGGTACCAGTCCATGCCCTGATTCTGATTCTCCCCTGGGAGTGGCTTTCTCTTTGTCCCAACAGTACCTTACCCCTCTCGCCAATGAATTACGTGCCTGCTAGAGATTTCATTTCTACCTCTACAGTTTCTCTTTGGAAGATCTCCCCCCCGCCCCCAGAACTTAGAAACATTCTAAGTTGGCACTATGAGAATCGGGAAAGCTGAAATCCCCGCATCTTTCTGTCAACCATTTGGCTTGACCTTTTTTCAGAGAGAAATACTGAATTCTAGGCCACTTTGGCTGTGCCTTAAATAGCACTTTAGTACTGAGCAAAAGTCCTGGATTTGGTGAACAAAATAGGAAACTGTTCTTTTAACACATGAAAAAATAAACGTGTTTACAAATTTGCCCGGGAGTTTTGGCAACAGACAACACCCAAATTCATATATTTGGTCTAGAACCTCTCCCTACTAGAAATAACCACTTCAAATATTTTTATTCTGAACTCGTCTAATGATTTTTTCACATTCTCTCAATCCATCCTTTAAATGCCATTTTCTGGACTGTATGGTGTGCCCAACGTGTGAAAGCCTGACAGTGAGGCTTGCCCTGCGTCTGTTCCAGTGCCCGCCTGGACCTGCCTCAGCGCAGGCAAGACAGGCAATCAGTGTAGAGTGGACAGCGAGAATGTGTGTCCTCGGCTCTTATCTGCTACCTGAAAGGAAACCATGGGGACTCTGGCCAACCTGCTGCTATGAGTAGGTAAGAGGAGTCCTCTGAGTAACAAAAATCTAATCTACATCAAGGCTTTATCAAGTACAGTCAGTAACTGGAGTTCTACAGTGGTACAAATTGAGAAAGCAAAGCAAAGATGCTCCGCTCCTGACTACAGGCAACAGGTATGGAGGGTGGGCTGCTGGATTCTGGGAGAGCTGGGGCCCAGGGTCCTCAGAGTGAGCCTGATCCAGATCAGACAGGGAGAGCAGCAGCAGCATCAAGCATCTGTGTCTGGTCTCATCGCTGTCACTGTGGCTGGAGGACATCCACGAGAGTTACCCTAATGTAGGACTTCTTGTCCTTTCATCCACTGCTAGAGACTGTTGTACCTCATCTAATGGATATAGGAACAAATGAAGCGAGACAAAAAGTCATCTGCGACACACAATGCTACTACTAAACACATCCTAGCCCCAAAGGCCCCCAGCCCTCATTATATCACTTAGTCTGCCCATGACGCTGGATCCTCTTCTGGATCACCAAGGCTGCAGCAAGTGCCAAGGTCCCGATCACTCACTTTCATTTCAGTACCAGAATCATGGAACCCAAAAGTTGGAGGGAACCTTAAGGACCACCAACTGACCCAAAGGCATGAATCCCTACAACAACATTCCTGCAGAGCACCCACGCCTGAGCACGCTCCTAAGGCTACCCAACGTGAACCAACACGTCAGAATACGTTACTGAGGAGTGGGTGCCCTCCTGAATTAAATGTCACACAATCCCTGGGTATCACAGTTCATACATATCTTGGCATTGAGTGACTACGGGTGGAATCTACCAGCAGAAAATGGTGGACAAGTTGACTCAACTGATAAGGCGAAGATGCTTTTTACCATACAGCTTCTTAATTTAGGTTAAATCTCAGTTACGTCAGGCTTATTCACCTCACTCACCCACCCATTTCACAGAAAATTTCAGGACAAAAGGTAGAGAAAGAGAAGCAAGTAAAATAGATAGTTATAAAAATATTTCATTCCCTTTCAGGCTTTTTCATAAACCTGCCCCAAAAAAGGTAATAGGAAAAGGCTCTATAAACATATGAAAAGTTGCCCTCTTTTCCCTAGGACAGTCACACAATAGCCTTCATCCCATCTCTACCAAAGAAAGATGACATTTTTAGGATCCAGCAAGATCCCTGTTGTCCTCTTTGGAAGGCCGGGTCTAAAGACAAGCTTTTCTGTGAAAGCTTTAAAACGCTGAGGAACAAGAAAACAGTCTTGGAAGCTCTTTAAAAAATAACCAAATTGTTTCCAGAGTTAAGAAAACAATCAATGCTCCCACTATTTAAATTAGTTTTAGAATAGGCTGATTTTCTTATCACTTGAGTAATATTTTGATTTCTCCCACCCTGAAGATACACACTGCCTTCTCACTTAACATGACTTATTTAAATGTTCCAGAAGTTAAAGATGACAGGAGAAATCATTGCTAGGTATTAATATAACATGTTCCCTAATATAGGATAATAATTCTTGCCCTTAAAGACCAAAACTTCTAAAACAAAACTCAAGGAGTATAATTTTAAAATTTTTTGTTTTTTGCTTACAATAGTGTGGATTAGCAATTCTGAAACTACGTTAGGAGTATTCTAAGATTAAACAAGTAAAGATATTGTGAATAATGAGAGCTAGGTTTCTCACAGTTAGAGAAGGGAATTACAAATGTGGAAATGGAGAAGGCAGTGCTGAACTGGAATCAGAGGCGTCAGTATGAACTCATGTTTTTTAAGACACAGAAAGATAGAAACAGATAAAACAGAAGTGTATAGAGAGAAAGAAATATACACAGAGAAATAGAAAGAAACAGAGAAATAGAGAAAGAAAAATAGAAAGAGCTAGAGACATAAAGAGAAACGGAGAGTTACAGAGATAGACAGACAGACAGATCTGTGTGTACACACCCACACACATTTACTTCCTTGATCTGTCCAAAGAGAGGGGCTACAAGTAACGAGAAACCAATGGCAATGGGCACTGAGTGCCCAGATCTTGGTTTCTACATATAAATCTCCACTAAAAAGAATCGGGGCTCCTTGAGAAAAATGGCTGTTTCTAAGGCTGGAACAAGTAACATGTTAGATGAGCCTGTATCATTTTTCCGGGCTAGAAAGCAAAGAAGTGTTCAAAGGATTATGGGGACATGTCAAAAGGACACAGAAGTCATCTTGAAGGAGTTCCCACTGGCTGCATCAGGGACAATTTGAGCAACAAAGTAAATGGGCTCAGTAATAAATTATAAGCCACAGAATAAAATAAGAATTTATGAGTCTACATTGACATAAATAAATGAATAAATAAGAGAAAGCTCAAGTTTACAGAAGAATTCCAAAGATTAAATGTAGAAGGAATGCCAGAATTAGAAAAATCACCATTTGGTTACCACCAGGGTAATAATGTCCCAAAGGTTAGAATCACCAAAGGATGTTAAATCCAGCAGGTGAATGCATGTGAGAAGTGTACTTGACACAGTCTCAAAGTATCTCCCCATAACTATTAAATGACAGGGGGAAAACAGTAATTTTACAATAAGAACAAGAAAGTCACCACCTTGACAAGTTATCAAACTTAACATCACCAGTCATGGGAAAAAACTCTTCTGCCTCCTGATATGATGCACTGAGGAGGACACCACAGCGTCTGTGGTCTTCCTGCCACAAATGCATAACTGGACTCTAATCCTAAGGACACGTCAGACAAACTCAAACTGAGGGATGTTGCACAAAATACCTAACTTGTACTCTTCAAAAATGTCAAGGTCATGAAAGACAAGGAAAGACTGAGGAGCTGTTTCAGATTAGATGCGATTAAAGAGAGATGACAACTAGATGCACTATAATTTTGGATTGGATTCTGGACTAAAAATATATTTTTTATTATAAAGGCCATTAGTGGGAAAATTGATGAAATCTGAATGTCCATAAGTTAAATAATTGAAATGTCAATATTACAGTCCTGATTTTGATAAGTATATTGTGGCTATGCCCTGGTTTCAGTAAATACTCGCTCAAGTATTTGGAGGCAAAGGGCATCCTATCATCAAGTTACTCCTAAAACATTCAGAACAAAAATGTGTGTGTGTGTGTGTGTGTGTGTGTGTGTTTCTGTGTCTGTGTCTGTGTAGAGAAAGAGAGAATGACAAAACAAATGTGGTAAAATGTTAACCTTTTTAACTAGGGGAATCTGGGTGAACAATATACGGAAAACCTTTGTACTATTTTTGCAACTTGTCTGTAAGTCTGAAATTACAGTAAAATAAAAACTTTAAATTATTTAACTTGCCATTTGTCCACAGAAACCAGGAAAAGTACACTCATTCAGTTTTCATCATTAGCTTCTTGTGACAAATCATTCATTGTAACAATAACTCTTCACGACAAGTAACAAATCATAATAAACCCTTGATATCGGCAGCTATAAATTAAAGAAAAAAAGACGCCTACCACCCATCCCTCCTCTCTTCAAGTTATGTTCGGAACAAATAAGCCCCAGAGGTAAGAAACAACTTGGGAGCAGCAATGTATAGTGGAAAGTGTTCTTATAATTCCAACTTGGAAAGTTACATGACATTCATCAGACAAACTATGAAATCCCTCTGGGCCACAGTTTCCTTATCTGAAAAATGAAGGGTTTCTAACAGGTCATCTTTGTGGTCTATTGTAATTCTTACATCATAAGAATCTAGAAGTGAATTTGATAATAAAAATGCTTATTGCTTGCTTTATAATTTAAGAGTAAAATATAGATCTCACTAAAATCAAAACTCGAAGTTCAAATATAACAACAACAAACTGGACAATAAGTATTCATTAACTATCTACCCTAATTCTTTCCTCCATATTAGATCCCAAAGTGTGTGACCCTGGGCCTGGATTATATTTGGCCCCTCGGTTATTTCTTATAGTCAGGAAGATGAGAATTTCCTTGTGCTTTTTATTTTCTATAGCTTAACCACCCCAACAAGCATGTCCACACATCCTGATGATGAGACTGTTGAGCATTTAAACATGGCAATTAATCCCCAGATCTATGGCAGGCAAATAACATCTATCACATCCTTTATAATACATGCAATGAGATAATTTGAATGGACTTTTTCTACTATCCTAGAAAAAATTCAGTGGTACACTCAACACAATCAATAGTGACAGAAGTATTAACTGTTATTCAGCTGGATTTAATAAATAAAATTAGATAAGTAACTTGTTGTGCCTGAATTGTGCCTTTTTTGCTTTGTTTTGTTTTTTTTTTGGTTTAAATAATATTACTATTAAAACAGAACACTGTGCTGTGACACTGTAATTATTTAAGTAATAAAAAAGTACAATCATTATTAAGACAGAATACTGCTGTAACACTGTAATTATTTAAGTAATAAAAAAGTACAACATATAAAGCAAATGGTTTTTTGTAGTGACTACTCACCTGAGAGCTCTTGCCACATTTAGCATCCCCTGAAATGATCACAATTTGATTTTGAAGCAAATTCTCCATAAAGGAGTATTTTTCTTTCCATATTGGAAGATCTTCTCTTTCTTTCAGAAGTTTATAATAACGCGATGAATACGGCAATCCATCGAAAGGGTTTAGTTCCAAATCCTCACAAGCCAAACTCCCCTCCTCATCCCCATCGCTGGAATCGAGGGATTCGGGGAAATAGCGTTTTTCGGAGGAAGAGTTCAGACGTTCCAGTTCTCCTTCCATCTCGTCCAGGAGCGAGCTTAAGCAGCTGACATTCCACAATCAAGTTTCTCCTACCAATAACCCACCGCAATCAGGGTTGAAAAGTCTATTTATACAAACTCAGATGGCCCAATCTCTGAGACTTCAGTCCAAGGTTTCAGCAGGCTCAATTCCTCAAAACCACATCTACTCTTTGCTGCGTTACCTAGGGTGCTGGCTCACCTCAGCACTCTTTAGCGTATTAAGTGACTGTCAATAAAACCACGCTAAAAAGCAAACAAACAAAAAGAACGAAAATCAGGTACACATACAAGAAGACATTTAAAAGAAGGAGCACAGGCATTCAAAACCAAAGCATTGTTTTTTCTAACTGTTTACTGTCTGTCATTTCTGCTGTTTAAAAGACCTGGAATAACTCAGGCTAGCGCTTAAAGTTCGGTCGGCTGCAATTTTTTCCTGGCTGGTTTGGAAAATGATTCCACCCTAGACCTGGTGCTCTCGGCCTGACCTCTATCACAAGCCCCTGCGTCTTGACTGACATTGAATAGAAAGCAACAGGGGGACATTGTGATTGTGAGGCTCAATCATGTGGTCACTAATCTCACTACAAAAGAGATGCTGGACCCTATAAAAGAGAAAATCGTGAGGGTCTGGTGAGTGCTCCCCTAACACTGGTTATAAAAAAGTCTCTTTTTTAAATTGAGAAATCCTCGCACTTTTTAAAGAAGAAAAATTTTTTTAAAACTTTTCATTTTACAGTTGCTTATGTCAGTTTACAAAGTCAAATGAGGGAAGTGAATTTATTATTTTTTCCATCTGAGACTATGGCTAGCTTGTATTAATAAGGTCTTTTGTTTAACTGAACCAGAAATTTCAAGCATAATTTCTTGAGATTTCTGGGTCCTGAGTCCAACGTGTCACATACAAGAGGCAATAAAAGACAGCATTGAATTTAAACAAAGACGAGAAATTATCTAAGAAAGAGCAAAATTTACACCAGTTTCGAATTCCCTACATGTCAGGTAAGGAGTTGTTCCTCTTCCAATCAACAGCGATTTTTAAAAAATCCAATCAGTATTGCTCGAAATAAGCCCCTTTTCTCATTAACCAGGTAGAAATTAAAAAGACAGAGAAAGTCAAGTAAAAAAGAACAAATCATAAAATACAGCTCATGATATTTTATCACTCACTCTTTTTTTACAACACCCTATTTATCATTAACTATTGCTTTAGAATTAGTGGGCTCAAAAGGAGAGCTCCTAACCAAAAGTAATAAAAATACTCCATTGGTCAAGCCAGGCTCCAGGAAACACCCACTCACTCAAGAAACACTTGAGCGCCTTCTCAGGGTTTAAATTAATAAACGAGGCATAGACACAGAGGCAGGATCTTCTGAGGGTAGGACCAAGAGCAGGACAGAACTTTTAAAAACTCACACACAAGTGGGCTGAAAGAGGGAGAAGCTAATAACCAGAGGGAGGAAAGGACTTTCCAGCTCCATGCAGGGAGAATTCTTCAACATTCATTCTGAAAGCCATTGTTTCAAAAGTAAAATGGAATTATAATGGTGTGATAACACAAGTGTACCAGGGATTAACTTTACAACTCTTCACTGCACAGGTTAGACTCGATCCACAGAACTGCTCCAAGAAACACAACAGCTTGAGATCACAGGACAAGCCAACTTTGAGAAGGATCCAAGAATCAGAAAATTCTACTCCTCAAAAGATAAGTTAACATTTATTTTATATTCAGTTTTTCTTTTGTTTTGGCGAGAATCCCTTCCATGGGTTCTCATCCTACATGTACGTTAAATTGCTGTTATTACAACCAACAATTGGCTTAGGTACTATTTTTTGAACTATTTTACCTTAAAAAAAAAAGCACAGCTATTATTTTTTACCAAATATATGCTCTTGAGATGTTTCTCTTAATTTTATAACACTCCCTAAAAGTGTAATAATCTTATAAGTAAAGTAAAATCTTACTTAAGAAGTATTGACCACTTTGAACCCTCAGGAACAGTCAGGTTTTCTGAATAGCTGTCTTTCTAGAGATCTAAGGCTCACCTGGGCTCTTCTTCACACACACAGTGTGTACAGATGCAAGACCCACTTCTCTGTTACAGTGGATTAAAGATGGCCACAGATCCTTGCCACCACCCCCTGGAGAGGGAGAGTCTATTTTTTCTCCCTTGAGTCTGAGCTGGCCCTGTGACTCACCAGGACCAAAAGCATGCAGTGAAGCGATGCTGAACCACTGTCAAGGCATTCTCAAGCTTGAAACACTCCCTCTTGGAACTGGTTAGCTGTCCTTCTGGGACACCCAAGCTACATAAAGAGGACACTGGAAAGAGACCAAAGCTGAGCTACCATTGAGAGAAAGTACAGACCACCAACCATGTGGCTGAGCCCTGAAAGATGCTCCAGCCCAGTCAAGCCACCAGATGACCAGAGGCCCAGCTAACGTGACACCCAACAGAAGTAGCACCTATAGGAGCCCAGTCAATGTAAAGAATCCAGAGAAGGAATTCATGGTCACCTTGGTGTAATCTCCTAAGTTCCAGGGTGATTTGTCTTGCCACAACAGATAACCAAACTTCGCCTAATAAAAGAGAGTGTACTCACAATTTAACTTTTTCTTCCTGCCTCAGGGTCACCGTTACATCAGCTCTTATAACAGAATGATGTCCTCAGATTTCCTTGAAGTGTCCAGGGGTCAAAGGCCAGACTGCCACCCCGGAGCCCTGCTTTTCTCCAGGGATTCAGTACCCACATCACACTGCAGTCTGCATGCTTACCCCGTGAGGCCCTTCTCTGCCTTCTAACCTGCTCTGCTACCTGGCGCAGTAGGAACCAGTTGGGCTTGTTTGACAGAAATTCTTGCAAAGGTTGAGTCCACGAAGGGCTCTATATTGAATCCAGTGAGTCTGAGGGACAAAGCTATGAAGTTTGCGACACCTGTTTTGACTACTCAGAGGGACTTTTTGCTGCTATATAGTTTGAGTTCCAGATCTGGAAGGAGGACGGGCTGAGACCCAACTCTGAGTTTTGAGCCACTGACTCCCATAATATATACACAGCTCTCCTCATTTACCCTACAACGGGCATGAGCTATGTCAGTGTTTTCTCCCAGATGTAATTAAATATTTACAAGAGATTCGTGTCTTGGCCTTTGGCAAATTTAATAGTATCAACCTAAACAAGGGAAAACAAATAATGTGGTGGGTTACATGCCATTCAATATAAAATTTAATAAAAATTGTCCTGTTATCAGGATAAATTATATTCCATTACAAGAATTTTAAGTCTGAAAGATTGGCATTTGCTCCTTTTTAAAGCTATCCTACATGGATATTGTAGATTGCATAAGCTGTCAAGGACTGCCCTTCGAAGTGAATCTATTACAACTCTTAAATGAGCATTTATGAAAAAAAACGCCTCTAATATAATATGATACGAGCTCAACAAGACAGAATCAGAAGTTGCCGTAAGATGAGCTGTGTCTGAGTCATTTATATATGCTTGGCTCTGGACCAGTAATGCTAGAAAAATAGTTCACAATAAAAGAAGGATAAAGTCTGCAAGCGATCAAGTGAAACACGACGGTGAAACTTGTCCTGAGCAACTTTTCTGTTTCACTGTTCGATGCTCCTCTTGTGTATTTTCCTGTGTTTAATATAAATGCATTCTTCACACCTGGCAAATTCTCAAATGTACAATTGGAGCACTTTGCAGAGATCTGGAGATTTCCTAACATAGTCTCTGGACCTCTTCCCTGGTCTCTCTAACAGGCCTGTATGATCTGATCTAGTTTCACAGCTTTACTGACATCCATATGGGGAGGACTCCCATTCACACATCCTGCCAAGCCTCTCCCCTAAACTTCAGTCAAGTATTCAACCACCTCCTCGTCATCTCCCATTTGGATATTTAATAGGCATTTCAAACTTTACATGTCCAAAACTGAGCTCCCCAAATCCACCCCAAAGCCTCAAACCTGGTCTTCCCATCTCAGTTAATTCCTTCTTTTTGATTGCTCAGACCAAAAAATTTGATGTTATCCTTTATTTTTCTTTATCTCAAATCCCACATCTGATCCAACAGATTCTGCCTAGCAGAATAAACGGCCTCCAAAGATGTGCGTATCGTAATGCCTGGAATCTGTAACTATGTACTGTGCATGGCAGAAGATTTGACTAAATTAAGGACCCTGGGATGGGGGACTATCCTCATGGTCCAATTAATCATAAGAGTCTTAAAATCAGAGAACCTTTCCCAGCTATGGTCAAAGGGAGATATGCTTACGAAGGAGTGGTCAGAGAATGCTAACGCTGTTGGCTCTGAAGATGGAGGGAAGGGGCCATAAGCCAAGGAGTGATGGGGGTGACCTCTAGAAGCTGGAAAAGGCCGGGAAAGAGAGTCTCTCCTAGCGTCTCCAGAAAGGAACACAGCTCTACCAACACCTTGGTTTTCGCCCACGGAGACCCATGATGGACTTCCAACCTACGGGACCGTAGCATAATAATAAATTACACTACGTTTGTGGTAATCTGTTACAGGAACAATAGAAAGCCAATACATGTCAGTTCTACCTTTGAAATATATCAATAACGCCACAACCTCCACTGTGAACATGTGGTCTGAGCCATCATCCTCTCACCTGGATTACGGCAATAGCCTCCTGACTGGTCGTCTTGTTCCCACTCTGAGCAACTTTCAGTCAATTCTCAACCCAGGAGTCAGAGTGCTCCTGTTCAAGTCAGCTCATGTGTCCTCTGCTCAAGTCTCCAATGGCTTCCTACCTCACCTCACTCTGAGGAACAGTCTAAATCCTTCACAAGGTCCACAAGCCCTCCAGGATCTGGAACCCTTGGTGGTCTGCCCTCATTTCCAACAGCCGCCTCTCTTGCTCACTCTTCTCTACCACACTCACACCACAGCACGTGCCTGCCACAGGGACTTTGTGCTCGCTCTGTCTGAAGAGTCCTTACTTCAGATATCCACACAGCTAGCTCCCTTACTTCGTTAGAGCTCTTTATCAAACGTTAACTCGGTGAGGGCTTCCCCGCCACCTGGCCACCGCGTCTAAACTTTCAACCACACCCCCATGCCTGAAACAGACTTCCTAGGCTCTTTTTCTCGTTTTTTCTCCTTAACACTCACCACAATGTAATGTACATTTTACCTCATTATTTTGTTCACAGTTGGTGGCCCCAACCAGAATGTGGGCACCATCAGTGGGGATTTGTGTCTGTTTCGCTCAC